TCTCGGCTGAGCTGTCCCCCCTGTACTTCTCGCCGTCCCCAGGAACCTGGCAGAGCTGAGCCTGGACGAGTTCCTCGCTGCCGGGTCCGAGTCGGAGCCTGACGGCGGCTCAGAGAAGGAGGAGGAGAGCGCTAGGCCCGCCAAGGGGGTTGCGGCGCAGCGGCGGCAGGGGGGGGAGGGGGAGCAGAATGGAAAGGCGAAGCAGAATGGAAAGGCGAAGCAGCCGCTCCAGACCCAGCCGACTGGGAGGTAAGGACGTGCCGCTGGTCCTGCTTTGAGTGAGATTTGGCACCTTTCAGATCGTGTTCTTGGTTCCTTGGGTTTTTTACTTTTGCCTGTTTTTATAGGCAATTGCAGGACTTTGTGACAGTATAGGATGAGCTCGTTTTGGGGCAAGCTGGGTAAGAGGTGCCTAAAAGGGCTGTGGTCAAGGCTGTAGAGTGGTTACAGGGTATGAGACAGTCAGGTTTTTGTTGGACCCATGTCAGTTTTGTAACTGCAGTGTGAAAAAGCTCATGCATGCTTTTCGTATTTTACAGGGTACATTGGAATCAGACAAAGCTTAATTTGTTTTTCTCAGTCTGTGTATACTTTCTTTTACTGAGAGATGTTGGAGTATCACAGAATCCCAGACCATTAGGGATTGGAAGGGACCTCCAAAGCTCATCCAGTCCAATCCCCCTGCCGGAGCAGGAACACCCAGATGAGGTTACACAGGAAGGCGTCCAGGAGGGTTTTGAATGTCTGCAGAGAAGGAGACTCCACAACCTCTCTGGGCAGCCTGGGCCAGTGCTCTGTCACCCTCACTGAGAAGAAGTTTCTTCTCAAATTTCAGTGGAACCTCCTGTGTTCCAGTTTGTGCCCATTACCCCTTGTCCTATCATTATTTGTCACCGAGAAGAGCCTGGCTCCATCCTCGTGACACTCACCCTTTAAATATTTATAAGCATGAATGAGGTCTCCCCTCAGTCTCCTCTTCTGCAAACTAAAGAGACCCAGCTGCCTCAGCTGCTCCTCATAAGGGAGATGCTCCACTCCCTTAAAAATCTGCAAATAGAAAACAATGTAGTAGTTATTAGGCACTGCTAATTGTTATGAGAAGCCAAGACAGTTCTTTAATATCAGATAAAATTTTGCCAGGCTTTTGTTGTCACATTTCTCTGGCACTGCAGCTTTAAGTATTCTTTATAAAAAGCTTGCAGGAGTAATTCTGAGAAAATGAGAGACAGGTTTTTTTTGTTTTACAAGATGTTTTCATGACCTCTGTTCAGTATCCCAATAACACCTGATAGCTTACTATCAATATTTCTTAGTGCTTCATGAAAATAACCTTTTGCAAGTCCTCTAGAGCAAGTGTTAATTGGGATACAAAACTGTGGCTACAGCCCTGATGGATTCATCACCAGTCAGAGTAGCCCCAGGTGTGCTGTAGTGCCCAGAAGCTGCTTGTTTCTCTTACAGCATCAGCAGAAGTTTGAGCAGTGAATAAATGCATGCTACCTCTTATTTATCAGGAAGAAAGGAAAAGCATCTGAACATAAAGATCAGCTCGCCCGGCTGAAGGACAAAGATCCTGAATTTTACAAGTTTTTGGAGGAAAATGATCGCACGTTGCTGAATTTTGATGCTTCAGACAGCTCTGAGGAGGAGGAGCCGTTGCACATACCACCTGATACACTGGAGGTACTAAGTCCTGTTCTGAACTGCTGAAGTGATATGAAATCACTGAAATATGCTGAAATCTCCTTTCAGTTACTTATACGTTAAGCATTTGAGTTTTCAGTGCAAGGCCTAAATATGTTTGGGCTTATAGTGGCACAGATGGCTGGGGAGGAGCTTCCCCAAAGATCATCTGCAGGTGTGCAGGCTTGTAATCCAGAAGTCAGCTGTGGATTTGAACTGAGCATGAGGAGTATGTTAAAGATGGGAGTATATTTTCTTTGTGGTGTTGGTTTTGTCCCCTTTCCCAATGGGGGTTTGTTTTGCCTCAAGTGATATGCTTTCTCACTGATGTTTTGTGTTGTTGCACATTGTATTTATGTAGCAAAGCTGCAGGGCTTAAGTAGCTTTTTTGGTATTTGTAATACCCCTCATTTTATTACTGCTTTACACAGAGTGCTGATAACAGCATTAATTCAGGCTGCCTGCCTGCCTTCCTCCTCAGTAGCTACTCAGCAGAAGAGGTGGGGCCAGACAAGTGTACAAGCCTTTTCTCAGTCTTGGTTCTGACTTCTCTAGGAAGCAAGCGATGAAGATGATGATGATGAAGAAGAAGAAAAAGTCAAACGGAAGAGAGTTTCTTTCATCTCTGTGAGCTTGAAAATGGTTGAAGAATGGAAAAAAGCTGCAGAGGTGAGCAGGGAGTTGGAATACAAGGCACTTAAACTTCTTCCCCATGTGTCGCTGCCTTTAAAGGACCAACTTTTGATTTATTCATCTTTCACAAAAAAATCTACAGAGAAGACTCACATCTTACATATGTGGTCATGCTCCTGGAGCTCTTTTTACTTTGGCATGACCTGACTTAGCAATTTTTGCTTGGGCTGCAAGATTAGAGTACTTGCATTCCATCTGCAGGAGAAGCTAGAGAAACTTGTGTAGCTCTGAAGAAGTCAAAATAGCTAACTTGAATTTTCATCCTCTTCCTAAGCGCTATACCTTTGGCAGCTCCAAAAACTTTTGTAGTCACATTGAGTAGTGATGAAATGGCTTGCTGCTTCTGACTAAGAGGGGGGGCGGGAAAGGTCAGATTGTGTAGTTGATTGCAGCTGATTCATTGCTTCTCAAACCCCAACCAATTAAAAGCCCTGGAAGCCCATTTTAGAGCAGGTGAAAGCCACTAGCATTTGTTAATGTGGTCTTGACGTTTTTCTTTCACATTACAGGAGCTATTTTTACAATAAATTCCAATACTCCTTTCCCAGTAAAGTGCTTCAGAGTTTCAGAACATCGCTTGCTTTTTCTCCTCAGCAATCTTTTTTCTTCTTTTTCCCAGAGCAACCTAACACCAAAACTTTTCCATGAAATCACTCAAGCCTTTAAAGCAGCTGTAGCAACCACCAAAGGAGACAGTGGTGGTGATCCTAGCAAGTTTCAAGTAACTGATGCTGCAGGTGAGTTGGTCACCATCCTGGTTTTGTGAGAGAAGTCATTTGGTAGGGAGGGTTTAGTGCTATTAGAAGAGAGTGGGGATAAGTACTGGCAGGACTTAACTTACCCTTTCATAGCTTCATTTCTCTTAAGTAGCTTATCTTCTTCCTGGTGGTGAGTCTGTGCAGTGCTATCTCTTTTGATGTCCCAGTGTGTAAGTGTACCTCTTGGTGTGCATGCCTGGTGCCAGCTGGGTTTGCAGACTGCTGAGGAAGGTACCACCCACATTAGGTTTTTGGGGAAGAGTGATGGTTATACAGACCCCTGGTCATGGGTCAGGCTGCTTTTGTGCTTGGTGCTGTTTATTCAGCAAAGAGATGGCCCCTGTGCCAGAAAACTCAGTTATAATCTTGCTGTTTAGATGGTAATCCTAGGGTAAGACAAACTGATGTTTTCAGGAAGCTTGTAGAAATGCAGTAGTTCATCCTGGCTTCAGTTTCTTGGGGAGATCTTTTCAGGTTAGCTGAGAAACAAGGAATATATGGAAAATAATTTACAAGTGCTTGTCTGACTTTTTTCTTAACCAGTGTTCAACGCCCTTGTGTCCTTCTGTATCCGGGACCTTTTCCGCTACCTGCAGAAATTACTTCTTCCAAAAACCCCAAAGAACAAACAAAAGTAAGTCTGAGGAGATGTGAGAACTGCAGGTGTGAGAAAGCTGGTTGGGATTTTTTTTCAGAACTGCAGCCTGGCTGTGAAGCTGGAAAAAGATGGTAGCTCTTCTCAAACACTAGCAAAGTTGCCTGATTATATTTACAGTTGTCTTAGCCAGATTCCTTTTTATTTTCCCAGAAGTGCATCCTCTATATAATATTATACTCCAGCCACTTGCAGAGAACATGTGGCCTCAACAGAAAGAGGTCTGGGTTGCATATTCTTGCACTCAGGAGCACTGTTAAGGTGTGAGTTGGTTTTAGAGAAAGGGGCCAAGCCTTCTGTGTAGGCAGAGTATCACCAAGTTAATCCGCAGCTTTAGCAGCTGTATTACACCCTAGAGTTTGGTGGTCTGAAGGCTGGATGATCTGAGTTTGAGCTGTTCACTGTTAGAGCGTAGATGGAATGGAAACAAGCATTCAGCTGGGCAAGGAACAGTACAGTTAGTATTTTTCTAGAATGACAGCATTGGTCCAGTACCTCTGTATCCCGTTCACTGTTGCGATTTGATTTGACTGGAGAGAAGCAATGACAATTTTGAAATTTCAGCTGCTGCCTGGGAGCTGGGAATTTTCTGGCTATTGTGTGGGTTGGTGCTCAGTTTGACTCAGGTTGGGCCTATAAATGAATTTATTTTTTTAGAATTTAATTTATTTGTTGGAGGTGTTTTTTTTTAAAGCTAAACCCAACTCTTGCTCGTTTCCAGAGTGGTCCTCCCTTCCACCAGCCCGTTTTGGAGCAAGCTGCGACTGGACATAAAAGTGTACCTCAGCTGTACCATACAGGTAAGAAATTTCAGCACGTTTGTGATGCTGGGGTCAGTCTGCATTGCTGCACTGTTCAGGATATTTTGGAATGAGGCAGATGGGCTTCTGCATCTGTAAAAACAAACAAAACACTGCTAAAAGGAGAGCCAAACAATCAAGAAGATAATTAACAAAGCACATAACAGTGTAGTGTCAGGTACTTTTCCTTTTGAAAAGACAGTTATTCCAGCTTGAGGGTGACTTTCTGATCATCACAGTACCAGGAACCTTGGGTATTGGTTTCTGTACCTTCTTCTGTGGTGGATAATAGATCTGACTTACGGGCTGAGATTGCAGTGGGCAGAAGCAGTCTCACTGAATCTTGAAGCCCTGGGCATGTGGGATTTGTGTGTCCATCCAGTTCCCTGTCTTGTTTTGGGAGTTACTTGGTCTAACAATTTGGAGGTCCACAGGATGGTTGGATCGAAATAGGTAGTCTGTAAAGAAGGACTGGTTTAACATTCTGGCACTTCTCTCTGTCTATATTTCTCTGACAAATTAATATTTAGTGGACTTTAAAGTAGTTTGCACCTTTGCTTCTGCATTCTGTATCTTTAATTCAATTTTTGGCACTCTATATATATATGATCTTGCCACTTGTAATAAATACTAAGATGATAACCTCATGGTATCTCCAGGTATGATTGTGCTCCATCCCACTAGGATGTCCCATCCATCCAAAGTTGCACATGTGTGGTGTTTCAGAGACAATACATGGATTATTTCTGAAGGAAATTCCTGCCCCCAGTTAATTTTATTTGGAGATTGCTTCATCATGCAACCCCAAATTTGGAATATTAAAATCAAAACAACATTGAAATACTAATTCTTTGGAAACTGAGGGAACAGCGTATAAGGAAAGAAAAAAACCACACTGATGTCTCATAGCTGTAAGCTGGCAGGATGACATAGCAGAAAGAACATTTTGATCAGTAGAGCTTTTTTTCTCAAGTTGTGGTGCCTCTTGCCAGCAGCAGAAGATTGCAGTAGAAAGGAAAAGCTGGCAATCCAGTCCCATTGAAGTAATGCCCACTCCTGTGCTTATTTCTGAGTGCCCTTGGTCCCAGGCTTTACTCTGTTGTTTGTTTTGGGGTTATTTTTACTGATACGGTAGTTTCTGAACAACATCTTCTCTTTTCCTTTTGGTATGTGAGGGACTTTGCAAAGGAGACCTGCTAAGTCTAGGATCTTTGCAGTTCAAGGAGGGAAGTTAAAAGCAGAAAAAATGTCTCTGCTTCTAGCAACTGGGATTGCAGGCAAGAGGGGCCGTTGCACCATGCAGAACCTCTCTCAAATTGAAGTGACTTTGAGCTTACCATTATGTTTCTGCTTCTAGCAACTGGGATTGCAGGCAAGAGGGGCCGTTGCACCATGCAGAACCTCTCTCAAAAGTGACTTTGATCTTACCATTGTCTTCAAATTAGAAACTGCAAACATCTCTGGGTTTGGCTCCAGGTGAACTGAGCTGAACGACCTGGAAATACCAGGATGTTGTTTCTTCAACAGTTTGTCTGACCTTTTCGTTGAGCTACAGTTAACCTCTTGATACCCAATAGTACTCCAGCTTCCCAGGAAAGCAATCCTAGTGAAATCAAATAAGTTATCAGATAGCTCAAGTGATTTGTTTACAAGCCTTGTGTAGATTTGAGGGTGTCTTCATTGTGCACTGACCATTGTGCGAGGTGACAGGGGCACTGGTGCTTGGATTCTGTGAGATGTCTTAAACTGCATATAGTCTTAGCTTTCGTGGTGGACACAAGAGAGGTTTTATGTGGTGAGCTCAGGTGCCGTTAGCCATCCAAGTCCTGTAGCCTGAGCTCACATTTGCCAGGATGATGTATTTTCAGGGGAGTTACTTAATCTGCGATGTCTGCCCCTATCCTGATGCAGCTTTTGGAGATTTGTTTGATCTTCCTCCTAGAGAAGACTGCTTTTCCAGTCCTTCGTTAATGCAGAAATACTTGAAAACAGCAAAATACAGATGCTTAATGGTAAAGGAAGAGGTCTAAACACTAAATGGGGTTGTGTTTTGTTTTCCCTCCCTAGCTCATGTCTTGTTTAACGGAAGCCTCAGTTGGTGCAGCAGTCCTTCAGCATGTCATTTCCACAGTGCCTTATTATCTGTCCTTTCCAAAGCAGTGCCGTGCACTTCTCAAGGTAAGGTGATATGCTATGATACATTATTTAGACCTGGGTATTTTCTTACCCCTTTCAGATGAGCCTCATGATATTGGGGTTGGATCCCATGACAGTTCATTCTCTTATATTCCTCTTCCCTTGCTTTTCTTTTGGTCCTGGAAAGGACTCCTGCTTCTCTTACAAGCCTTCTAGGTGCCATAAAGCGTGCTCATGCTGGGATGAGTGGGCATGAGGCTCTGTGTGTAGCTACTGCTAATCCCCATGCAAAGTGATACGGAGGCGTTCTGAGGAAGCTGTCTGCTTCCTCATCGCAGATGGAGTAATTGTTGCCTGTGTGTAGTCTGTGATAGTATTTCAGTCTCAAAAGCTGGGGGTGGAATGTATTTGCAGAAACTTAGTCACAACTGCTGAGTGCTTAAGAACAACAGAGGAGGCGTGAAAGAGGGCAGCAAGGTGACATTTAAATGAAAAGCTGCAACACAACATTTAAATGAGACTGGGAATTCTTTCATGATAAAGGTGACTGGTATGCAGTGATGGGAGGCTGGTACACCTCATATCTGAAGTTATAGTTTTGGGTATATTTCAGCTTTTTCAGCCCTGTAGCTGGTATCTTTGAGATTTCCTGTAGAGTTTGTTAGTGCAGATAAGGTAACTAGTTACTGGAGACATCAGCTGTGATTGTGGTCCAGTTGTACCAGATGCTTCCTGACAAGGCCAGCCATGTCCAGATGAATCTATACCCTGACCAGGCAAATGCAGACAGGCCTGGGAAGAACAAAATCTATTCACTTGCCTCTCAAAAGCTGAGGAGAGAACAATATACGATTGCTTTATGCAATGCAGAGATGTGTAAAGTTCAGATTAACGAGTTTACATGTCAGTGGTGGGCTGTCTGCTAGCCCAGACCTCTACACAGACTAATCTACCCCTCTCCAGCTGTTGTAGGTATTTTTATGATGCTCTGGGTGTTTGTCATCATCTCTGTACCAGAGTGGCTGTCTCAGCAGAAGTGCTGCATTACACAGGTTCTCTCTCTCCAAACCCTCCTGCTGCTCTGTTGTTCAAATTAATACAGTGAATGGCCAGGGAACTGGAAGTCAGAACTACCACCAGGAGATGTATGCCAGGAATTGCAGTCTGTTTGCCCAGAGGGGAAAAACACTGATAGATTCAGAAATCAAACCCTGGTGTCCCCGCTTCAGACACAAGCACATCTTTAATAGCGTTCTTTGAGAAATTGGAATTTGGCATTGCTGGGATGTAATGGAAGTGTAGTTGTATGCTGCAGAGCTCAGTGTAAGAAATAAAAATTACTTTTTTATTGGGCTGGAAGATGTGTTGGCCAAATGTGTAACCTAGGGTGCTGTTGCTGTCTAGGGGATGCTGAGGAAGCTTTGCAAAGCTTTGGAGATTAAGTTACATGCACAGGCTGATATCTATGCTCAAACTGTGTGTATTTAGGCACATGAATAAAGTTGCACGTATTTTCCAGAGATGCTAGTTTTGGGTGGTTTCCTTTATTGATTGTAGAAACATCAACCTTGCCTGTTGTGTGGTCTCACAGCTAGAGTATGGTGACAGAATGACTGCCAGAGCTGTTGTGACTCATTCTGTGACAGTACAGCCTGCCATCTTTGTGTCGTCTTCCTCCTTGCTTGCTTTTTTGGTGTGAAGGAGGGGAGCTCAGGCCTGTCTGTTATCAGGAAGGGGCTCTTTGTCCCATTACTTATTTGTATCTTTTTATTTTCTGTTCCAGCAAGCAATTAATTTGTGGAGCACAGGTGAGGAAACAGTGAGAGTACTGGCCTTCCTTGTGCTGAACAAGATCTGCCGCTACAAGAAAGAGGTGTACCTAAGTCCCTTGCTCAAGGTAAGGCTGGTACTTGCTGTACTCTGCAGACGTTCTTTCTCACATTATATGCAAAGACCTTAGAGTGTGAGCTGCAGCCTATTAGGTAGGGTAGGTGCTGGAAATAAAGCTGTCTGCCTCCAGAAAAATAAACAGGGAAGAAATTTTGTGAGCTCAGAGTGATATCCTCCTTCCTGCTACTGCCCTTTCTGCTGGACAGTTAAGGGGTCTTAGCAGGGAAGGCCTCTGGTACCCATCTGACTACTGGATGAATGCTAACCCAAATTCTTGAGGGCTTTCCTCAAGTGCTGACACTCTACTCGGTGCTACTGAACTGCTCTGATCTCTCAGCTAATAGCTGAGGTTCCCAAGTGTAGTTTCTTTAGGTACCACTGTTACAGAAAGAGAACTGTGACCAGCCATAAGCATGTATGGCTTAAAGCCATCCCACAGTTCCTCTCTTCTTGCAGAGAAGCAATGGAAGGGGCATCTCCAAGCTTTGCTAACAAATGTGTGAGTGCAAAAAGGTTCTGACTCTCTCCTGTCTGTGCTGAAGGAGCAGGCTGGATTATTATTATTATTGCATATTCCTTTGAAGTGACTTGTCTTATAAAAGGAGCATTTTATCCCTGGTTTGGACATACCTGGTTGGAGAAAGTTAGTGAAGGGATGCTTCTGTTGTATATGGTTGTATCTCTTCTTTTTTCCTCCACAGCAAATGTACATTGCATTTGTGAAGAATTCCAGATTCACCTCTCCCAATGTCCTGCCCATGATCAACTTCATGCAGCGCACGCTGACAGAGATGTATGCCCTGGACACGCATACCTCTTACCAGCATGCCTTCATCTATATCCGTCAGCTTGCCATTCACCTGCGCAGTGCAATGACCATAAAGAAGAAGGTAGGTACCCCTCAGTGTGGAACGACTGTACCCTCCTATGGGAAATATGTGGAGAGGGGAAAATTGCAGGAGCCACTTGAGGCTTTTGGTAGTGTCTAAAGTGTCTGACCTGTTTCATAATGTGCCAAGGATTTTTTTCATGGGCTGAGAGCTCCAGAGATCACCTTGTAGTTGCCTGTGTTCGTTTAGAATTTCAGCAAGGAAGGAGAGAAAAGACAAAGTGGGGGTCACTTTTCTCTCCCCAGCGTGCAAGAGTTGATGATGCACTTTCCATCTTCTGCCTTTGGCACCCTTTTTCCACTCTCTGAAGCTGCCATTTGCAGCTTCTGTTGCAAAACCTCAAGGTAAAGAAGATTAGGAACACACACCCTAATGTGTGCATCTTTCAAGTGAAGTTCCTACTATTTAAAGAACTTAATTGAACAAAGTAGCTCAGACCTTTTGGGAGCAGCCCTGATTTCAGCCGCCTCCTGTCTGACCTCAGAAATCTGAGTCGGGTTGCTAATCCTGGCTTTAGTCATGTTTAGCAAAACAGACCCCCCTAGATTAATTGTTCAGCTGCTCCCAAACATTGCAGGATTGGTGACCAGTTAAATCTCCTGGCTGTTCAGACATGGGGATAAATGAACAGAGATAAATGAAGTCTGGGCTGCATATGCCCTAATTGGATTACATTGGCTTCTTACACTCTCAGTCCTGGCCCAGACAAGACCTAAATCCACTTGATTTCACAGCTGGGGAGGGTTGTAGGAACTTTAAATGATAACAGCACAACCAAAATATACAAATCCAAGTAATAAGCCAATTAATGTAAATTGAGCGGTGGGTGATTGTGGAAGGTGATTACAAGAGCAGATTGCTTATCTGTTCTGTGCAAGAGAAGCTGAGAACAGAGCTTCTTGGTACATCTCAGTGACCTGGTGAGAGCTGGGAGAGCTCTGCCATTTCCAGCTGCAGCTTAAGTCCCTGCAGCAAGGTTTGGTTCAGTGGCTGCAGTTGAGGGCTTCTGTCCTTGTTTCAAGGCTTATGCATCTTGCTTCATCCATGCAAAATAGGAGGTGAACTGGGCCGTGAAAGTCTGAAACAAACACACATTGGAGCTGAGGCACCTTAGGTGCAGTCTCCTAAGTTCTCAGTGCAATTCTGGGGCGTACATGGGCCTGCAGAACTCTTTAAAAAGGATATCCTTAAGGGAGCCCTGCACTCTCCTGGCCCTGTATTTAATCTGGCACTGTGGGTTGCTTAAGCACATGGCAGGGAGTGGGGGCTTTCCCAAACATTCTTGAAAACAATGTCTTTTGGGTTGGTGCAAGACTTGATCCACACCTTCCCATAGTACTGAGGCAGCCTGAAGTGCTGGTTCAGTGTGTCATTGCATGTCTTGCACACTGCTGGCCTATTGCACTGGTTCTGCTGGTAACCATAAAGACTGGCTGAGAAATGGAGCTGCAAGTTTGTTCTCAGCTCTGCTGGCTGTCATTTTTACTCTGCAATTGGAAAAAATGAAACTGTCCTGGGTAGCATCTTTTCCAAAAGCAGAGAGGAGTGCTGGGTTGATCATTTGGTCCTTTGTAGGAACATCTTTAAAATGAGCACTGATATTACCTTTCAGAGTTAGTGGAGTGGTGTGTTGGGGTTTTGATTAATACAGCTGAGGGAAGGGAAGCTTCAAATGGGAAGAACAAGCTGCTACATAACCACCGAAGGAGTTCGAGTGCAGAGAGAGGAAATCCAGATGAATTCAGATTAATTTCTTGGTAGTTTGAATCTGTAGTGTAGCTTTACATGCCCTTTCCCCCCCCTTTCTGGTCTGCTGAGGCCAGAAAGCAATTTATAGGGGTATTGCTTTCCTACCTATGGGAGACCAGGGACTGTCCCAGGGGCTGTGGGTAAATGGAATAGTTAAGGGTTTTCTAATGCTTGGCCACATCCCCCCATCTGCAGTGAGCTGGGTCATTAAATCATCCTTCTCTAATGAGCCATACTTGTGAAGAAAAGCAGTCTGAGTGTTGCTCATTATTTTCTTCGAGGCACTAACTAGTACTGAATCAGTGTTGCCAGTGCAGCATCTGAACTTGCAGGATGGTGGGTAAGCCACAAGCATCAAAGCAACAGCTAGGGTGTTGGTTATTCCTCTAAACAGTACACAGTGTCCTCTTAGAGAATGCCAGATAAAATGAGTCCTGTAGAGAAACTGGAGTGAGCTCTTCTCAAATGCCACACTTTCAAGTTGGTGCCTGTGTGTTTCTCTTTTCTGCAGGAGAATTTCCAGTCTGTTTACAACTGGCAGTATATCCACTGCTTGTATTTCTGGTGTCGGGTTCTCAGCACAATCTATCCCAGTGAGGTTATGGAGCCGTTGATCTATCCTTTGACACAGGTCATCATTGGCTGTATAAAGTAAGTAGGATTTTTTTCTTCTTTTGGCTATGCTGCTTTCTGTTACTTGATGTGGCAGAGCAGTTACTAAGAGCTGTTACTGTTATGTCATTTGGGTTTAACCTTATGTTGTGAGAATCTGTCTGAGAGCTGCTTTTGATTGCTGGAATACTTCGAAGATGTGTTGTGAGCACCTGTGTGTTGCAGTGGTGAGAAAGTTGTGGTGTAGGTTATGCTTTTCTAGGCTAAATTCTCTGTATAAGAGAAGTTGCAATCTGAATAACCTGGACAGATTATTCACCCAGTTGTACAAAGTGGCGAGGAAAGATGTACTGACTTGCCTCAGGACCTAACAGTGACAAAGCACCGAATCAAGTCCCCATCTCTAGCTCAATAAATACAGTTAGCAGATACACTCTCTTTTTGTGCATATTTGTTAGAATTTGAAGAACTAGGACACATTTATTGTTTTTAGTATGTCTCTACTGAGAATTTTTCTCTTTTCCCATCAGTTTGTGTGTTTATATATGAAATTTTAGTGCTTTGAAATGGCTGTTAATAATGAGCATTGAGGGAATTTCTGAATCTCTGGTGATCGCTGAAATCCTGTTAGCTCTGTTAACCAGATTCTCAGCTTTAAAACACCGCCCGCCTGGTCTTGAAAAACTCCCAAGTGGTGATGAAGATAAGCAGATTTAAACGATCGTTAGGGTATGCATACATCTCTCTTCCCATCCCCCATGTGCACAGAGTGCTTCCCACTGCTGTTTAGAGCTTTAGTTGTCCTGCAGACTAATCTAGGCACTTTTCTACCTGTCCAGGCAGATAAATCAGCTATCTGGGGCCAAGGAAAGGTGAATAGGATGAGTCTCAGCAAGAGCAGCAAACAGAATTTGTTAGGGTCTGTGATGGACAGGGCTGCTTGGCAGGAAGTACAGTTACTGTCTGACAAGGTCCCAAAGATTTGGGAACCAGACAGATGGGTTCTAGGGTAGGGCAAATAGAAATAAATCCTACCTTGGCTTCCTTACTGAGCCAAGCCAGTGATATAAAAAAGGGGGTGTGTATGTGATCAGGTGGTGGGGCAGGATGCTATGAAACATCTGGAATACCTTCTTTCCTTCCTGTTTGAGAAGTGGAGCAGTGCTTTGGGGCACATCTGGAGGGTGATAGTGCTGGGAGGAGAATCCCCTTCCCCAAAGCCTTTTGTACCGGGAGGTGGCGCCTGGCTCCAGCCAAAGGGCAGTGAGCAGGGTGTCTGTCTGTGGGACCTGACAGGCAGATCCTCATGCCACCCTGCCCTCGTAGGGGAATGGGGAGAAACCACCGTTCTTTTTGCTCTGGTTAGGGACCAAGGTGGAATTTGATAAGTGATTAAACAAGCTAAATAGTAGAAGAAAATGAAAATTGGCTCCCTTATTTTCTTGCTCCCTCTTCTTGCCTTCCAGTATATGAAATGCATCGAAATGTTTAATACGTATTTCAAAAGTGGACTCCATGTATGTCTGGAAGTTACCTGTGTTCAAGATGTGGTCCAGGGAGGTTGAGCTACTGAATGGAAAAGTGCTGGAATTGATGGCTTCTGGCTTTTGTGATGCTGGGAAAAGCCTCACTGCTGAGTTTGCTCACATCTGCTTGGATTTATACCTTGTTCCCAGTCTGAGCTACAAAAAATGAAGTTCCTCTCTGGATTATAGTTAAATGAGGACTTTTGGTGCCTGTTAAGTGTTGGAAATCAACACTTGCCTTTCAGCCTGTATAGGGGAGAAAGCAGGTACAGCCTCCTCCATGGAGAAAGCAGCACAGCCTTAATGTCCTTGAGCAACGTCCTTCTGTGACCTGGTGGGGTGGAGGCTAATGTTGAAAGAAGCTTTCTCTGACCTGTCTAGCCAGAGGAAGATTGTAGTTACCCAGGAGTGTAACAGAAGGAGAGTAAAAACAAACCTTGAGGAGCCTTGAGGCGGTTGCTTGTGCCCTGACTGCATGGGAGCAGAACAGCAGGCATTCCAGGAGGTAGTGATGGTAAAGCATTGGAGAGCACTCTGCTGTGATGAAATAGGAGTCAGTTTGAACCCCCCAGCTGCACCCTGGGGTGACCAGGTGGATGAATCTTCCTCAGCAGAGCTGGGACCCAGCTGTGTTTTGTATTCCCTGTGCATCCAGCCATCAGGAAGTTGAGCAGATTGTTGCATCGCCACGCACTCTAAAATTAATGGTCTTGGTTTACAGTAAATCTATACACTTAACAGGTTTATTCCTTGATCAATTAATTCCTGAGAATGGCTTTCGTCATCTCCAGTGGTGCCAGATCAGGGGTGCAAAGTAGATTTATTTCTGTAATGGATCCAATGATAATTATTTCACTATTTGGAGTTAGGGGAGATGTGGGTGATTTACGGTGCCTGGTCAAGCACTTTTTTTGCTCTCCTGGATTGCTCAGCAAGCTCTTTGGGGAGGGTTTCATTTATCAGACTTGAGCTTGTCTAGGAACTGTGGTTTTTTAGGGAAAAGAAAAATCCTTGCTAATGCTGAAGGCGTCCATGTCTTCAAGTGCAGGTTATTCAGCATGAGAGGTTTCTAGAGTGGTGCAGTAATGAGGTCTGGTGCCTTTTAGGGATAGCTCTGCTTACATGGTACTGAGGGAGCTGACCCTTCTCAGCCCTGACCTTACAAAGGGAGTTGGCTCTGTTTCTTTCTTAATACCTGAATGCCTGTTGGTGTGGAGTGTGGGTCAAAAGGTCTGGTGTGCTGATTACTGCCTGTTCAAATGTACATGTTGAAGGGAACAGGAATAGCTTTAAACAAGGCCTAATACCCTTTCTTCTGTTCTTTTTTTCCCCTCTCTAGGCTGGTACCAACAGCTCGATTCTACCCTCTGCGCATGCACTGCATCCGTGCGCTCACGCTGCTGTCTGAGAACACCAGGACCTTCATCCCAGTGTTGCCGTTTATCCTAGAGGTTAGTTGGTTCCTGTTGACCCAGCAATGGCTGATGCCTACCTAATAAACACACTCTCTTGCTATACCCAGCAATGGTTCCCAACATTGCCCAATTTACTTACTCCCTAAAGCCCCTGGCAAACAGCATCAGACAGAATGTATTGGTTGGTTAGTAAATAGGATTAAACTTTTATTGGCCTGTGAGTAGAGACTATCTGAGATCAGCTGGGTGCAAAAATACATTCCTAGATGGCTTAACTAATGCAGCTGGAGTAGGCAAAGAGTTTGCCAAAGAAGATATTCAGAGCCTCAGCTGGTTGCAGGAACTCCCCAGGCTGTTGTTTCTTGACCCCGCTGATGCGTTTATATCTTAGCAAGAGTTTCTTCCAACTGCAAACAGAAGGAAATTGAAGGAAAGAGCCCTTCAAGAATGAAGAATTTATTTAGGAAAAAGATCTCTAAAATGTGTTATATTTGGTGAAATAGTGGTGCTAAGAGACTGTCCACCTTTTCCATGTGTCAGATGCCCAACATCTCTCCACATTGGTCTTTCAAACCTTTTTGCTGTGAGAAGGTGGTGCAGAAGGGGTGCAGCCAAACTCCACTGAAGTGTGAGCAAGGCAGGATGAGAAATGCAAGAGCCCCAGTAGGTCAGCATGAGGCTGGACACTGAGGAGGAAGGAGGGAGACTTCTATAATAAATGACCTGAGTCAGCCAGGCTCATTCCTAATCAAGTTCTGTTGAAGCAAAGGCTTTTGTGGTTTTGTGTTGTTGTAAACGTCCTTTGCAAACCACATCCTCTGAGCCTAGGGAAGGCAGCAATGTTTATAAATCTCCTCCTGCTCTCTTGCCTCCTCCGCTGCTCCCTGGCCTGTGTGGCTTTGCCATTTTCCTGCTTCCTTCCTCTTGTTCATGCATATTTGAAATTCTGCCAACCAGATTTAGTGATAGAGGCATCTCCACTCTGGTGTAGTGGAGCTTGGGGCGAGGATCATTTCTCTGCTTTTTACTTCTTAGTGCTCTGAGAGATAAAGCCTTTGTCCCCTCTGAGCTTTCCCTCCCTCTTTGTGTTCAGGCCCCAACACCTTCGCTGTAATCTCTGTGCCGGGCCCCAGCCAGACGTTACCACACTGCATGCTGAGTTTCCTCCCTGCTTCCACAAGCCCTGACCACATCCGATCCTGCTGTGTTTGTGAGGCACTACTCAGCTTAGCTCGTCCAGGTGTTGGTGACAAGGGAGAGATGGGGGCAGGGTAAATGTGTGCGTGTGTGTTGCTTGCATACTTGTTTCACATTAATTTAACAATTATTTTCCTTTGACTTCCATGACCCGAGGTGACTGGTGTGATGTTAAACTCCCAAATCTCCCTGCAGCTGTCAGCCTTTCCCTTCTGCTTGCGTCTCTCCTGTAAGGGACCCTGCAAATATTCTGTGGCATTCCCAAGAGTGTTCAGGGCTATTCCCTTGGTACTTGCATCTCTTCCCAGTTCCCTCCTTGCCTCTCAGAGGTCTCTGAACACTCTTACAGCCCTTAGTGTGTTTCTACAAGCTGGGAGGAAAATCTGCATTCTGATGCCCAGCTTAGTACTTTAAGTACGAGCCTGCTTCTGCCAGCTCACAAATTCAGCAGTGACTTAGTCAATAGGCATTAGTCCTATGCCACCCTGTGTCAGGAAACAAAATCCATTTTTAAGCCTGTTATCCAAGAGGTTGAGGGATATGATCAGTGTGCTGGTACCAAGCAGGAGTAGACTTGAGGGGCGTGACTGGGGTTGGAAGAACAGAATGAACTTCTCAGGATAAGGTAAGCTCCATTTGATAGGAAGAAGGAAAAGCTGCTTTGTCTGCCACTGTCACAACTGAATCCAAGTACAACAAAAGAATAGCTGTGGAGTTTGTGACCCTACATTTATTGCTCTTCTTGGAGAGGACTTTGTGTGGCCTTAGAGCATAGATTTTTGTGTAAGATGCTTGTGTAAGAAGTGACCGAGTAACTCAGTTTCCCTTCCCCCTCTCCATCAAGGAAGCCCAGCCCTCACTACCTCTTGTCTCAGCCCTGTCGCTGCTGTGCTTTCAAGAGCCGGCAGATTGAATGTTTTTGCAATTCCCCTAGGCACAGGAATTCCCCAAGCCCCTGCCAGTAGAAGTGAGGGCTGGCTGCCTGATGCATCTTGACAAGGGCTGATGCTCCCCAGCGTGGGCGTCCAGTGCTGTCTCCTCCTGACTCGGCTTTCCACGGTGGAGCAAAAGCAGCAGCTTGCTAAAATTACATCTTAGGAGGAGGCAGCTTGGGAGAGAGCGTAAAGCAGGCAGGCTTTTATTTTTGTATTGTTACTCTCCTTGAAGGGCCTGTGAGATCCCAGGCTTTTTTATTTTTTTTCCTTTTTCATCACCTCAATTACTGTGTGACAGGCAGTAGTTTCTGCAGCAGGAAAATTGGTGGCTCATCTGCTGGGAGGCAGGTATGGATAAACAAGGTGGAAATCTCCCCACAGGCAGACTTTGCACGCCAATTTAAAATTAGCTTTTCCTGTGGAGGGATTGGAGGGATGGGAGAGGAGGTTAACCCTGATGTGCTTAGGAAGGCACGAGTTTTTCACTTTGACACTTAAATGGCTTGAGTCTTGTTTTGTATGTGCAGCTTGTTTTGGAGAAAGTCCCCAGGGGCTTGGAGTGCAACATTTGTGGGGTAGCAGTGGATTGTGTTGGAGGAAATCTGCTGATGCAAAGACTGTAGTTGAAGAATTGATAATGCTGGACACTGGCATACATTTAAGCACAGATGTGAAATTAGTTTCCTACAAGACCTGGGCTCTTTGCCTCCTTTACACAGAGAGGAAGAACCAGCACTTCAGACAGACTGAGCTGAACCACTGTACCAACTGAGGATGTATCTTTCCTCTTCTTCATTCTCCTTTCTCCACTGCTATATTGCAGCTCTTAAATTCTGGATCACAGCCCTGCAGGTACCAGAGGTTGCTTTGAGTGAAATCATGCCTGACCAATCTAATAGACTTCTACGATGAGATGATTGGCTCGGTGGATGAGAGGAGAGCAGTGGATGTTGTTTATCTTCCCTTTATTGAGGTTTTGGATACCATCTCCCATAACTTCCTCACAGACAAGCTGATTAATTGCAGGCTGGATAAGCAATCTGTGAGGGGTGCTGACAGCTGAACTTCCAGGCTCATGCTGTGATCAGTGGCATGAAATCTAACTAGATCCTTGCCACCGGTGATGTACCCCAGGGATTGATACTGGTTATCATTAATGGCTTGAATGGTGGGGCAGTGTGGCACCATCAGCAAGCTTGCAGATGGCACAGAGTTGGGAGGAGTTGTTGATGTACCAGATGCATCCTGCAATTCAGAGGGACATTTTGGAGAAACAGGCAGGCAGAAACCTCATGTGGCACAAGAGAGAAATGCAACATCCTGCACCTGGGCAAGAGTAACCCCATGACAACACCATCCTGGGGCCTGGCTGGAAAGCAGCTTTGCAGAAAAGGACGTGGACAACAAGTTGACCAAGCAATGTGCCGTTGTGGTAAAGGTGACCAAAGGCACGCGGGGCTGTTAGAGCTTTGCCAGCAGTTTGACTGTGGTCTTTCCTCTGTGCTGAGCACTCATGGCACCACAGCTGTGTCTAGTTCAGCACTCTCCAAGGCAGGAGAGACATGGACATACTGGAGTGAGTCTAGGGATGAGCCACAGAGATGAAGGAACTGGAGCATCTGTCATGTGGGAAAAGGCTGCAAGAGCTGCTACTTTAGCCTCAAGAAGAGAAGGATTGGGAAGGATCTTATTAATGTGTAAAATACTGAAAGGAGAGTGCATAGGGGATGGGGCCAGGTTCTCTTAACTGATGTCCAGTGACAGGAATGGGCACAAACTGAACCACAGGAGGGCCTGTCTGAACATTGGGAAACACTTTTTTATGTGAGGCTCACTGAGCACTGGCACAGATTGCATGGGAAGGGTGTGGAGTCTCCATCCTTGGAGATAATCGAAAGCAATCTGGACATGGTCCTCAGCAGCTGGCTCTGGATGGCCCTGTGTGAGCAGGGCAGGTTGGACAAGGTGACCTCCAGAGCTCTCTTCCACTTTCAACTGTTCTATGAATAAAGAGGTTGGAGCCTGATTTTTCTCTGTGACAAGAGGCAGTATCCCAATTGCATACTTAAGCACTGGGGAGGGAACCTACCACCAAATGAACAACAAAACCAACCCCAAAACCCACAAGAATTTTATATGGTGAGGCTAGAACAGGTTGCCTAGATGAATAGTGGAGGGTCTGGCCTTGGAAGTACTCAAAATCTGGCTGGACATGGTCCTGGGCAACCCGTTCTAGTTGACCCTATAGATTATTTCCAGAGGCCTCATCCAACCTGAACTGTTTTGTTACTGAGTGCTTCAAGCCAGCTCCTGCAGGAAGTTGGGCAGCTTGTCTGAACTTGGCAATAATCAGACTCTGCTGGAGCAGCTTAACAAGGCTCTCTCACCCTTCCCTCCATGCAGTGGGAGGTGACTGACAGACCTGAGGGGAAGCTGCAGGCAGCCCAGCGAAGCACTGTGCCCTTGCTGTGAGCTGGCCTGGGGCAGCCAGTTTTGGGGTGATCAAAGCAGATGCCAGGAGGCTTTTGCTAGAGCTTGAGAGAAAGTAATGTGGGGTGGATGAGGTGATATAGCAGGAGAACTGTGGGCACAGAGCTGGCTCTCTGGTTTGCACGCTGTGTCTGAGCATCCTTCCGACTGGCCATGTGGAAATCATCTGCGAGTTGAGATTGCCAAAAATCCTTCTTCCTGCCTATGTTGCCTTGTCCTTTCCTCTGTCTGCTTGTGGTTATCATTTAAGCCAGATTGTTGGCTTTTGCCATTTTCTGGCCCTCTAGTCCCTCATTATCGCCTTTCCACCCTGCCACAGGATTCTTAGACATCAGTCATCCCCTCCCTCAGTCTGGCCATTGCCTGATCCACTCTGCACAGTCTTGAGATGGGAACCACATTTTCCCCCCTTTCTACACGTCCTGGCCAGCTCCCTTGCACCTCCTGGGAGAGTTTCAGAACCTCTGGTTGCATTTCCCCCCTTGCTTAGCGGTGTGTTAGGATCCCACAGAGCCTGATGCCTTTTGCTTTAATGTGTCTGACCTCGGGGATCAATACTACTGTTTTGGCCAAAGAAATAACCGTGCATAACGAGGTTTATAGCATCGATTCCCTAGGCTAGGGCTCTTTGTTTTCACAAGCCACCAAGCTTGTCCCTCCCTTCCAAATAACCTGGATTGACAAATAAAATGTAAAAAATCAATAGTCGTCTCCATGCTTTTCTGGCCTGGGGGCATCCATGTGACCTGAACACCCTCCCTTTCCTCCTCACCTCACCCTCCAGCAATCAGTGCGCTGCATCCCCACGTTGCTGGGCTGGTTGGGGTCCGATGATTAATGTGTTGCTGCTGCATAGAGGGAATAGAAATTAATTCCTGCTCAGGAGTGCAATTTAAAAGCGTTGGGCACAGAGAGAGAGGAACTGGAGGTTGCTTTTGAGGTGCTCAAAAGTATGGGTGGGCAGGACGTGCTCCTTATCAGTCTTCCCTCAATGATTGTCATTGGATATGCAAATGATTACTAATTGCTGGGTGATATGGTTGGGGTTTTTTTTGAGATCTCCCATTGCTAGTGACACCTCCCTTGATTGTCCCCTGATGAGGATCTCTGGGAATCTGCCCCAGATCAAGTGGGTTTTGTCATTCTTACCATCTCTCTCCTGAGGTCTGCCCCTGCCAAGCTGGAGAAGGGCATTTTTGTATTGCTGCTCATTTTAGAAACCTTCTTCTCCTTTCTCTATCACAACTACGAAGGAATTACAGCACAGCACCCAGACTTACTGTGATTGCTCAGAAGGGACCAAGGCAGATTGTGGCTGTAGCTGATTTCAGCTGAAGATGGCTTTCCTGTGCCAAATGCAGCCTTGCTGGGGAGGTGAAGAATGGGAGTTCATACTGATTCACGTTACCCTTTCCCCAGTGAAGTTGGGAAACTCCTCCCAGAAAGGAAGGAGTGGGGAAGAGGCTTTTGTAGTTCTTGGGCTCGATGACGATTTAAGTTTTAAGCAATAAAGACTCCTAATTAAAACCAAACTTGAGATGCCAGTCACACGCACATATGTGAACTTCCTCTCTGTTTTCTTTCTACTATGTAAGCTTCATACCTTCTGTTTCAGAAATAACTCCTCTCCCCAGCTGTTATCATTAAACAAGCTCTGGGAAAAACACAGAAGCAAAGGTGCAGGGCTGCCTTTTGAAGTTACACACTAGCCTACTGGGCATCCAGCTGTACACTGGAGCTTGTGTGTGCTCGTCATTTTGATGAGCAGGGTGCATGGTCTCTCAAACTCTGGGAAGGGGCCAGTTTTTCCCCATGTCCCTTGTTAGAAAATGAAACGTGTCCCTGGAAAATAATATGCGCTTATTCAAAGGCTGTCCAGTTGTAACTGGTACAAGGGATGCCAATGGGAAATGTGTTAGAATAGAAACCTTGCCTGGCAAGGGCTGTCTGTGAAAAGGACTTGCTGGTGTCTGTGCTTCCTGGGACAATTATTTCAGTGTCGTTAAAAATGGTAATGGATTTGGTGTTAGCAACGTTTAGTCTTGCTGTTGAAAAGCTCCCCTTAAGGAACAGCTCCAAGATACACTCAAGCTTTTTAGTACGATCTTTCTGACCATTAGAAGCATGCATCTGAGGAACAAACCTCTGGTTTCTTGAGCTATTGCTTGTGTTGGTTTCCTTTTAGCTCACGCTTCTGTGGCATCTTTCACACTCGAGTCTCTAAAGCTTCAAGTGTGGTTGGTGTTTGCTCCTAACTGTCCCTTGCAAGCTGTGGGACAGTGATCAGAACAGGCAAGTAGGAATGAGGATTTCTGGATTGTCTTAGCCCTGCTGCCAGCTGCGTGATCTTAGTTGAGTCATTTGGTATCCGTTTTGTGGTGTGATCATCCTTATACTCAGCTTTTTTCTGTTGTAGATTTTCCAACAAGTGGATTTCAACAAGAGGCCAGGACGTATAAGTGCTAAGCCCATAAACTTTGCAGTGATCTTGAAGCTTTCCAATGCCAACCTGCAGGAGAAGGCCTTCCGAGTAAGTGGAACCCCGGCAGCCAACGGTGCACAGCAACAGTGTAGGGTTTAGCTCCTATCTGATACCTCTGTTTCTCTCTCTCCTACCCAGGATGGACTCATCGAACAGCTCTATGACCTGATGCTTGAGTATCTCCATTGCCAAGCCTACAGCATTGGATTCCCAGAGCTGGTTCTGCCCACTGTCATTCAGGTAAGGTGTGAGACGCTTCTCAGTCAAGCCATGAACACGCGCAGAGTGGGATAAAGTTGTCGAAGCTAACAGTGAACTCAAGATGGTCCTCATAATGGGAGGAGAGAGCTATTTAGCTTTTCCTAATTACAGTTTTTCTTTGTGTTTTGGGGAATTCCTGGGGAGGAACAGAGGTATCGTATCTAATTAGGAGGCTGAAGGTAGGTGAAGGTGGCTGTGGAGTGAGCCACTGTTTTGGGAGTCAGTGTGGACAGGAGGGCTGCATAACTGCTGTAGAGATGTGTTTTTGACTAGTGAACACAGGTGAGTTCTTGGCAATTCTGAGTTGTCTGAATTGCTGTATCGACCTCCCTCACGTGCTCTCCACAAGATGGCAATCGTCCCTCCTTTCACAGTGTCTCCATCAACTGGGGCACTTTCTCCCCAAGTCCCTCCGTACAAAACAGTACAATTCCTGTCTCCATCCCTCCTCCTTGCTGCACCTAACAACACTGCTGCAGAGTAGTCTCCTTTGCCTCTCCCTTGGCATTGCACAGTGCAGGGTGTTCTTCCAAGCACTTCATGCTTGCATACTTCACTGTCTGCAATAAAACTGCCTAATGGTGCTGTGCATCTGAATGTATTGTGCCTAACCTTAATACCTTGTGCATTCCTTAATACCTTGCTAGCTGGGTGGCTTCAGTTTTGAATGAGCAGTGACCTCTGCTTTGCACAGTAAGATTGCTCAGTGCGAACATGTTGGAACTTGTTTTCTCCCTTCCTCCCAGTGCTCTCTATTTTTAACTCATGGGTGCCAGGTGTCATGCAAGTTTGGCAGAGGGCTGCTGTCGTATCCTCCACGGGGACGTGAACCTCTGCTTTGCTTTGGTGTCAGCCGTGAGACCCTGTGTCTGCGTACCTCGTTGCTTCGGTGCCTGTGGTTGACGTGGGAGCGACGTCTCAGTTGGACCCGCAGGCTGCTTGGGAGGCAAATCTCCTTGTTTCTGCTGGATGCAATAGGCTGGCATCTGTCAGGCGCATGACTCTTGGCTGGGTCCCTGCAGCCTGGCACAGGCCATTGCCGAGCTGGCAGTCGGCTGCTTTGGCTAATGTGAGCTGACAGGCACTCTCTGTGCTAGGAGAGCGGCTCCTGCGCTTGCTCTCTCTTTGCGTGCTTCTCGCTTATCGGCAGCGAACAAAGCCCTTTCCTCGCAGCCAGCAGCTGTTGAGAGCATCGAAGCTGTCGGAGCCGATGTTCTTGCTGGAATGAGAAACGGCTGACGGCCCTCTGGCACCGAGCACCCTGTGGCTTCCAAACACACCCTGGGACCAGCCTGTATTTCTGCAGAGAATTAATGCTATCGGATTCCTGTTTGGCTGCCGCTAACCACAGCCTCGTGGCGTCTGCTGGGCTGGGGTGCTGAGGTTAGCTTCCCAAAATCTCGGAGTCTTCGGGAAAATGTGTGTGTGTGGGGGGAGGCTTTTCTCCTGGAACGGTTCCAGTTAACTGTAAAAATCCATCTGTCCTGATTCTTCCTCCCCAATGAGCTCACGCTTCTCTCGGTGCCATGTCGTGGAGGCTGCGTTCCAGCTGGCGAGGGTTGCCTTCCTCGTCTTCTGGTCAGCGGCTTTGGGAGAAGCCAGGCTGAGCTGCCTTCAAACTGAACTTGAAAACCTCCTTGCCTGGAAGGCAGGAAGCGTCCTGGCAGATCAAAGGAAAGGAGAGGAGGAGATGGTTCAAAGGCTTCTGTCCTGCCCAGCTGCGGGGATGACCCCATGGCGGTCACTGCCTCCACAGGCTGGTAAGGAGCTCAGAGAGCAGAGCCTGTGTGTCCGGGAATGTGGAAGGGACTGCCTCTTCCCTTCTCTGGAGCCCTGATAAGCATCACAGAGCAGGGGGAAAAGGGAAAAACTGGGCAGGTGTTGATAAGGGGTAGGTCCTGCTCGTTGGAGGCAGGAGGTGGCACGATCTAGGCATCACTTGCAGACAGCCAGAAGGGCAGGAGGTGCCAGTTGGCCTTGCCAGCAGCCACCCCTACTGCTGCTCGCTCTGTATCCTAGCTTGAATATACCCTCTGCTTTTTCTGAGTGGGGGATTGGGCTTGATTTGGGTTCCCTGGAACACACAAGCTCAGCTGCTTCAGATCATTTATAGTTCCCTGCATCGTTTACAGTAAGAGGAGCTGGTTTTTTGCTGTGGTCTCTCCTGGTATAAACCATTGGTGTTTAAGGCTGGCAGTCCGACAGACTCAATCCCACTAATTACAGAGCTGCTTAGCTGGGAACCAGTGTGAGATGTTAGCGACATATATACACACACATATACACACGTATGTTCTGATTGCTTTTATTCTGCAAAGATATGGTTGTTCCATTTGGCAGAGTGGAAACACGGCATATACAGAGTCCCTTTCTTTCTCTTTATCTTCCTTTACCTTCTTGGTCGTTCCCTGCCTTTTAACACAGGGCTGAGATCTCATTACGTTTCGTTAATGTCTGTGGCAGATAGTGGTGGGACTGTGAGGGATTGCACGGGTAGCAGAGAGCAGGGGGAGGCAAGAAATGAAGCATACACGGCTGCGAGAGCGAACACACAACAGCAAACTGCACAGATAGAGCCCGAGATTTTGCAGGATTTCTGGTGACACTTCTGCAAGGGAAGAAAAATGATAATGTATGTGGCAGCGGATGAAATGGATCTGGGGCTGCAGCTGTGGGGATCAAGTGAGATAAATCAAATGACAAATGCATCTCTCAGTGGAGATAAATATGCATCACCTATAAAAAATAAATATTTTAGGAAGGGGGGGGTGAGGGTAGGACAGGCTTCACCAGCAGAAGAATAGTTTTGCTGATGGTTTCTTTGTAGTGGTCTGATGGGCTGTTTGCTTTGTGGAAAGGTGTTCATTTTAACTCTCATTTTTCTGAGTTGGGTGTAGGTGGGCATATATTGGGGATAAAGGGACAAGAGAAGCCCCTGCTGCAGATAATGGGGGACATTCTCCATGTGTGTAGCAGCCAGCAGATCCTGCAGCAATATACCCATCAGGAGAGCAGTGTCCTGTCTGTCTGTCTCATCTGAGAGTAGTGAAGCGTGTTTTGGGCACTGAGAGAGCAGGAGCAGATTCTCTGTGAGTAGGATGGTCCTTGCCCTTTCAGGCAGCAGCAGGGTTTGTGGTTTCCTGGCAGACGGGCTTTTGTCCTGAGGGTTACACACAAGGCCTTGTGTCTAAAAGAAGGCATTATTTAGGCACAGGCTGCCCAAGTTGTCCGCAGAGAGGGTTATTTTGTAAATGTTGGTGTGGTGGGTGTGTGGGTTTGCGTGGTGCCAGTTGGAGTGGGGTTGGTGCAGGCAGACATTAAGCAAACTTCACCCCGTGTGACTCTGCAGATGACCGTCTGTCCTGACCCGCAGCTCCACTGCTGGAGCAGCACCAAGTTTTCCCATTGAGCTACGCCAAAGACCCTTGCTCCCAGTCCACAGACACTTCTACCCCAATTTTAAGTCTCTCCTGAAGATCTACTTCAATCCCAGCCATCAGTCTCATCCACAGCCTCCTGTATTTGGGATTCCCATTCCAATATCCACTGGTGTTCTACAGTCTTAACCCACAGACACCTTTCCCCAGAGGTGCAAAGAGTTGTTTTTGAGCAAAGCCCCTGAGCTGGATTGTGTACAAAAATCTGGCCCATCACTACAACTCTTTGCATCCTCCCAGCTCAGGGTGGCAGGACCCCCAGGGCTGAATATGGGTGATATATTGGGGTACGGTATGCATAGAAGGGAAAAGGTGCCCCATGCTGTCTCACTGGGGGTGGGAAATGTTATTTCACTGGTGGGATCTGTTTGTGGAAAGTATAACATCGCTTTTATTCTTCCTCTCCTCTTCCTCCTCCCAGCTCAAATCTTTCCTGAAGGAATGCAAGGTTGCCAACTACTGCAAGCCCATCCGCCAGCTCCTGGAGAAACTGCAGGAAAATTCTGCCTACATCGCCAGCAAGCGTCAGAAAGCTTCCTTCGGCGTGGCCAGCCGGGAGGCTGTGGTGAGTCTGCTCCTTCCGTTTGGCCTTCCTGGAAAGACCGTCAGGCTCCGCTGCTGGGCTTGAGCGGGTGGCGGAGGGAGGAGGAGATGATGGAAGTGGGAGTGTGTGGGGTGGGGCAGATGTTCACAAACAACTGAGCTCAGCAGGGCTCTGATGCTATAGCTGGCACGACTGCAGCCAAGAGCCTCATGGAAAAAGTCTGTAAATTATACCCTTCTATTATTTATAACACACACACATGCATGGAAGCGCTTTGCTTTGCTGGGGCACCTCCTTTGCTGAGGAGTTTCTGTGTTTTCATCGTCCCATTCTTGATGTGTAGGTGCCTGTTCATGCCTGAAGAAATGGGGAATTCTGCTGCCTCTGTACGTGTGGTGTTTCCTCCTGGTCTGTAGACACCAGTCTGCTCTGAGCCAGGTCCTCCTAGGGATGGTGTAGCACATTGTCAGGACATTCCTTTCAGTGTCTTTGCTTGAAGCTGTTTTCCCTTTTGCTTTGCTCCATCCTGCTTTGGGCACCTGTTGTCCTAAACTCTTGAGATATTTTAAATCCTATGTAAATGAAGCCAAAGGGAAGGAAGCCTTGTTCCTGAAGCTTCATTTGTGTGTCCTTTGGGTTGGGCATTTTATCTTTGTTTTTTATCCCACCTTTGCAAGCCTGATAGCAGGTGAACTGTGTGTGTGCAGGAGTGAGAGGAAGTAGTGGGTTGACTTCTCCTTGCCTGGCAGGAGAGAGGTGAAAATACCTCTGCAGGGCAAGTGATGGGTCAGGGTGGTCTAAGTTCCACCTTTTGGCACGGAGCTGGGCATCGAGCACAAGTTGCAGTGCAGACTAATTCGTCTTCAGACACCCAGGGGCAGGGCCTGCAGGAAAACCATCCTTTGAATGCCTAACATATCAGTGCCAGGACACAGCAGCGCAGCTCTGGCATTGAGGGGTTGATGGGACTGGGTTTGAAGTGACTGAGAAGTCTTTGGTTCTGGGTTGGACTGTTTTGCTACAGGAATTGTGCTTCCCGTCTGGAGTGGGGCGGTTAGGGTTTTGTTTTGTATTTCTTGCGGGCAGTGCTGTGACCACCCACCCTCTCTGCAGAGGCAGAGATTGCAGTCCCTGGGGCTCTCCACGAAACAGATGGGCTGGGGAAGCTCGCTGGCTAAATAAAACAGCGTTTCCAACAACCCTGCCACTGTCTGCTTTTCCCAGCAGCTCTGGCTGCAGTCCCTTGTGTAAGAACCAAATGATTATTTTAACATCTTGCTGCCTGTGCATCTCCTAGTTGACAGTGGTGCACCTGCTTATCTTTTGTACCCCTGCCGCCCTGTGTGTCCCCCCTGCTCCTTTGCAAGCAGATGATGTCGATTCCCAAAAAGGACCAAAGCCTCCCACAAAGCCTGGGCTTCCCAGCACAATTTGGAGTGTCCCTTGAAGTCTGGGTTGAGTTTGCCAGGCCGTCTCCAATATCTGTGGGGCATTGGCACTTCTCAGGAGCAAACGCTGCCAGAAGAGGGAAGGCGAGGAGGGGGGTGAGGTATTTGCGTGTCCCCCTTGCCAGCAAAAGTGATTGAAAGCAAATGCTCTCTGGTATTCACATCCGTGCATTTGTGCCCGCTCTGCTGTAGGGAGCAGAGCCCAAATTCTGGGCTATTCTTCCGTGCAACATGCTGAAATGTGAGTTTCATGGGGGGAATTTCAGAGAAACAGGTTTAAATGAGAGGAATAAAGGTTGTGAATGTGATCGGATCAGCATTGCTGACTAGTGGGCATGCTTTAGAAAGCTGAATTTTACCTAAGGGTCTCTATTTTGTAATTTTAAAGAAGAAACAGCCTGGGGATTGAATTTAATGCTGCAGAGGGAGCATAGTGGTGCAATGTTTACGTGGGGGATCCCTCCTTGCGTCCCAGGAGCTGCGGTATGAAGGGACAGATACACCCCAGACGTGCTCAGCCTCACTTCTTCCATGTTTCTTTAAGACTGAGGACTTGACTTGTGCTGGGGGTTGCCTGACAGCACAGTGATGTAAAAGCAGTAGTAGAAGGAGAATTGCAAATGGTTACGGTGAGTGTGATGGCATCCACTCTCTCAAAATCCCCGTTCCTGGTAGAAAGATGGAAGTGTTTTAATGGTCCTTTTTTTATCTCTGGATTCCAGCACGCGTTAAAACAAAAAGAGCTGTATCAGACAGAACAAATAGGCTTTTGCCCTCTGTAAGAAGAATCTTTCTCCAAAGCTGTCCATACCAAGCAGCAGCAACAAATTGTCTGACGGCGGCTGGCAGCCTGATAGGAGCCTGATCTATAAAAGAGGTGACTTTGTGCTCCTCCTGCCCTAGCGGTGGGCCGGATCGACAGCAACGCCGTGCTGTCTGCTGGCTGGCGTCCCCGCTCGCATTTACGGTGCTGCTGGAGCCGGCGGTTCATGGGCTGCGCTCTCAGGCGGGGAGGAGAGCGGAGAGCGGACGCGGGCTCCAGCCCTGCAGACCTGGAGCCGTGTTACAAACAGACCCCGGGGAGCTGTGAGTCTGGGAGCCGCGATTACCAGGAAGGGGCTGTTTGGCTTCCTGCAGTGTCCATAGCGCCTGCCGAGGGGTGCGGAAATGGATCCTGCACCATCAGAGCGCAGGTGACACGAGCTGGTCGCTGTTTAATTGTCAAAGTTCAGCTCCTGGTGCCAGCTGCAGAGACCACACATCATCTCCACTTCCCTCCCAGGGACGGAGCAAATGAAGAGCTGGCATAAACTGATGTATTTCACTTCATAATACACACCGAGTACTTGCTTGTTGGTGTAAGCTGCTGCCCACTGCGGAGACCTGCTCTTTCTGTCGTCTTGTTCATGCGCTGCTCTTTAAACAAACTTCTTCCCTCACCTTGACTCACAGGCCACAGCCATAGCTCCCTAGTTTTGGGCTCAGTTCCCCAGAAGCAGTTGATTTGAGATCTGCTGGAGAATATTTGAGCTGTTGCTGCGTTTTCTGCTCTGAAGATGGTCTGGCCTTTTGTTCTCAGCCCTGGATTCACACAGAATCACACAGAATCGCTCGGTTGGAAAAGACCTCTGAGATCATCACGTCCAACCGCTCCTGTCTACCCACTAAACCATATCCTTAAGTACCTCGTCTGCCCGCTCTTTAGATACATGCAGGGATGGTGACTCCACCACCTCCCTGGGCAGCCTGTTCCAGCTTCTGACGACCCTCTCAGTAAAGAACTTCCTCCTTATCTCTAACCTGAACCTCCCTTGGCACAGCTTGATGCCGTTTCCCCTTGTTCTATCCCCATCACCTGGGAGAAGAGACCAGCACCCACCTCTCTACAAGCTCCCTTTAGATTCAGGATACTCTTTTTGGATTGCTGTTGACCTTTACGTGTATCCACGCTAACCTTTGTTCCTGCTGCTCGTTCCCTTCTTCCCATGCCTATTCCTACTCACGCGTCATGTCTTTCTGCTGACTTTAGAGTGACTTTTTACACTGGGGTAAAGCAAAGCCTCTGGGCACTGTGGTAATCCAGTTAACAGGTAGAGCTCTGTGTGGGTTTCAAGTTAAAGGGATGTTGGCAGGTTAAGAAGGATGTATTTTAATACGACATACCACCACCCCCCGTTCAGCACTAACCTGCCAAATGATTGAGGCGTAAAAGAATTTGTAACCATCTCATTTGCCTCCCACCATTTACGGTGTTTGCACCTCCTTTCTCTCCCTGCTTGGACAGCGGAAACAGACTCGGCAGTTCTTCGTGCTCTGCTCTCTGAAGGTTGGGACGGGTCCAAGACCCTGCAGGGCAGTGTTTGTTTCAGAAATAAACACTTGGCTGTGGAACAGGGGGAGCAGGCGATCAGACGTCTTTGGTGCTTGGGTCTTGTAGTGCTTGCGGGAGGTTTTTCTGAATTAAAAAGCGAGATCTGAGGAGGTGATCAAATGCCTCCATTGGAGGAGAAGGGGACAGACTTTGTCCTGATGGATTCTCTGATCTGTCTCTTGGATTCCTACTTTCAGGTTTCAGGTGAAGTAAATCCTTTTTCTTTACAGGAGGCTGCATCATCTGATTTGACTTCTGTGTCAGGGCCTTCTCACTCGAGCTGGAGTGGAAGTGAATGTTCAAGACCAAGACAGTAATAACAGATCCCAAAAGGCAGGGAGAGCCTGTTGTGAGTCCTCAGCAATTCTGAGAATCAGGCCTCTTCTAGAAGGGGGAAATAGCAATCTGTGAACACACTTTTCAGACCACCATGCTGTGAAAATTGGGCTATCTTCCATAATGTAAAGCATCTTAGGTACCACCTTTGTGAGGATCTTATGCTGTCCTTCAGTTGTGTCTCCCCCATGACTGAATTCCTGTGCCGTTGGTATCCTGTGCTTTGGTGTTGCATGAGTAAGCTGATGCACTGATGTCCCTGCAGTGCCCAGGCGTTGCTCTGCCTGAGGAGAGTTGTCGGTCACACCACTTCTGACTCAGTAATAGCTTAAATGACGGTGCCTGAATTCACATGTTTGCATTCTTAGTCACAGTTGCCAATTTCCTGCCCACAAGCTGGGAAAAGGTATTTTGGGAAAGTTCTTAACCTCTGTTTGCCAACGTTGTATTGGAAAACTGCTTTGAAAACCTTTCTTAAATTTGCACCCCCTCTCTCCACAGGAGCAATGGGAGAAGCAGGTCAAAGAGGAGGGGACACCTCTGACCAAGTATTATACTCAGTGGAAGAAGCTGAGAGAGAAGGAGATACAACTGGAAATCAGCGGCAAAGAAAGAGTAAGAATAAAACACCTGACTCACCGGGCATCATCTGTGATGAGTATCAGAGACTGGTTCTGTTTGGCATTTTCTTATTTCACCCGTGTGGGGGTGGCTGGTTGTGAGATGGGACTTGCTGCCTGGACAGAAAGGCCATTTCCCACATCTCCTGCCCAAGGGGAGGCTCTGTGACCGCTCCTGGTGGCACTGCAGGATGCAGGAGGTGGGGGTGGGAGCTCGCTCACATCAGGAGTCTAAAGGCAAGCTGTCTCGATGCTAATGCAATGAAAGTGGCTGCGCTAGGCTCTTGGCCAGGGAGCAGGAAATAGATATAATTGGTGTCTCCAGCGTATGGTGGGGGAACAATTAAAATAATCAATGGGACATGAGGATGGCTGGCTCGGAGCCAAGCCCCTGAGCGTGGCAGAAAACCTGGGAGATGGTAGAAATGCTCGCTGTCATACACCAGCCTGAGATAAGGACAGGAGGCTGAAATTCCCCGCGGCAGCCCTGCGGAGGGAGCAAAAAGCACGCTTTTCTGTGCAAACCCAGCAGGAGAATGTGGCCTTTGTGGAAAGGAAATTATGGGGGGAGCTAAGAAACAGCAAGAAGTGATAACTGTGAGTGGGGCTGATCTCTTGCCCAAAACTGGCTCTGCTGGTGTGAGCTGACACCTTCCTGGTACTGAAGCAGCCATTGCAAGGGGAGAGGAGGTCAGCCCTGGGTGTAGACAAGTCCCCATCTCATGTTGGAGGGAGGAGGAGAGCTGGAAGCTCTGTGGGGTGGCCAGGACTAGCTGAGGTGGAGAGTTTGCCTTGAGGGGATTGCTTTCCTATAGCAAGGCTCAAGAGGGTGACTTCTGAAACCAGGGGAAGCCTGAAGGGCCGTGACGGGGCCTTGTTTCCCCTTGGAGAAAGTGGGCTGAACAGATAAACTGGAGAGAAAGACAGGTTTTGGAGTGAGCTTGCCGAAGGGCCTGTGGCTGCCTGACATCTTTGCTTGGTGAATGGGGCCGTTGTCTCTCTCGGTGGGGACTGCAAGCTTAATGATGCAGCATTGTGAGCCCCAGCAGGAGAGTGAACACCATGAGGCCCATTAGGGCTGGGAAAATCCATGTCCCATTAGCAGCCATTGGGGGGGAAAAAATAATAACAGGAAAAAAAATCAGCCTGGCTCTCAGCTGCTGCGAGCTGCGACTTACCTTATAGAACAACGCTGACCCCGTCTGCCCATTCCCTTTGCTTTTCCCAATGGTTTTTAATGGGATGTGGACTAATCGGCTTCATGAGCCTCAGTAGATAGCAGCCCTGTAGCTGGGGATTAAAAGACTGGCCCCCAAATTACCTAATTACTGTCTCTGTGTGATGAACACGGGCTGTATCTGTGAGCTGTGGCTCAGTGCAGTTCTCATTCCTTTGCTTTGTGATCACTCTGCAGCTAGTAGGGTTTTCTGGTGCCTTTATTTTGGGGTGCCCGTCTCGAAGGCGCTCCTGTGGAACCTCAGAAAACTGGACGTAGCGCAGCTTAGTGTGATTCAACACCGGCTCCTTTTTAATAAGCTCGGGTTGAGTGCAACCAGTCCTGATGTCACCTACAACTGCAGGCTGCCTTTGGAAATGGGGACAGGTCCCCTGCCCCACGTGGAGCTTGCTGCAGCGTAGCCACCCTAGGAAGGAGGTGAATGTCACTAGGTCAGCTGAGGGCAGCTGTGTGGCAGTGGCTCTGTTGCTGCTCTTGCTGCATTTGGCTTCCCAAGTGCTCTGGCATGCACAAATGCTGTTTGGAGAGCACGGAGACAGCCCAGCAGGTCTCTGCAGGGCCGGTGGAACGAGAGGCATCTCGTAGTGGATAGAGCAGGTGGGAAGATGATTTAGAATTAGGACTCTGCAAGCGGTGTTTGGTGGTTTGCTCCCCTCGCCCCCGCTCTGGCCAGCTTCTGACTTTGCATCCTGGTGCTGCAGGTTATTGCTTGTAAGTGCTCAGCTCCCAGGATCAATATTGTCCAGCTGGGGACCATAACCGTGAAACAGGCTGGGAAAAATTGCCGAAATTGGCTGCAGGAGCAAATGCACATCTCCGTGTCTCTTCCTCCCCTCCCGTCCCCGTGCTCTCACTCTTTTTCTCTCTGCTGAGAGCTGCTTTCCCATATAGACACTGCTTTGCTGCAGCTCCCGCTGGGGAAGGCTCACGGGAGGGTTGAAGTGGATGTGGTCAGAGAGGAGCGCGTTGAGGGGTGGTCTGACGGGTGGGAGAGAGCAAATGAGTTATTGCTCGTAGGGCGAATGTTTCCAAGCACGCTAATGTGTGCTAATGCATGAGTGCTTCCCAGGAGGAGTGCAGCCAGGCACGGGCAGCGGGCAGCTGATGTTCAGAGAGCACTTGGGATTTAATTTGCATTCTGATTATCTTTGCCCTGCTGGCCTGAGCCCTCGCAAGTAAATCCTCCCCCTAATCCCCCTCCGGAGAGGTGTAAAGAGCAGTGAGGTGGTGTCAATTGCAAGTACTTAATGGCATTGATATTGGCTGGCCGCAGCAGCAAGGCCCTTGGCCCCTTGATCTCCGCAAGGGCTGGCAACTGGAGCTGTGGCATAGACAGACCTATAGCATCTGCAGCACCTTGCCATTTCACCAGGCTGAAATCCGCAGCCAAAAAGGCAGGGCCTTTGCTGGAGTTGTCACAGCTTTTGGCGTCGGTGGAGAACTGACCAGCGTGGTCTGGCTTGGTTGTGCTTGGCTTCCAGTCCAGGGACCCAGCTTGTTCTGGCTGTCTTGTGTTTTTATCCATGCTAAGGTCCCAGCAGTGGATGGCCTATTAGCAAAAGTAGTTAATTAGGTAAAGATCCGTGGAGCAGTGGTGCTTTGCATGCAGCACTCACCTTCGTAACCGGCTCGCCAACCTCTCTGTTGCTCCCCTGGTTGGCAGCAGGCAGACCCGACTGCTCTTGGCAGTGTGGCTTAGGCACGCTGGGCAAAGCCAAGTTCCTGTGTTTAAGCTCAGCATTTTATGTTTAAAAGTACAAATTAAGGTTGTTCTTACTGTTGCTTTTGGCTTTTTCCAGCTTGAAGACTTGAACTTCCCAGAAATTAAACGTAAGAAGCACGATGAAAGGAAGGAGGAAGATAAGAAGGAATTCAAGGACCTCTTTGACCTGGACAGTGACTCCGATGAGGAGAGCGTTGGGTTCCCCATAAAAGGTATGGGACTGGGGCTGGGCATACCTCCTCCTTGTCCAGAATTCTGCATGACAGGAGTCAGTGTGGCCCTGCCCATGCTCCTCATGTTTGGTTCAGAAGATACACTACCAGGGAAAGGGAGCCAGGACAATGCTGCTTTTTGGAGCCTTTTTTATTATTTTACCAGAAGAAGGCTCTTTGATAGAAGAATGGTTACCCTCTCTTGGCATGATTTATTTATTCTATAATGACTGATGTTGGAGTGTTCTTGACAAGCCCAGGAGGTCTGGAGCCTCTGGAGGAAACGGAGTGGTGTCATCCTCTGGCTGCGACCACGAGGGGGCCACCGTAAATTGTGCAACCTGCCCGAGGGGTTCACCACACGGTCTGAGGAAAAACCTGGGTGTTCTTTTTGTAATTTGGGATATCGGAGGTTCTCCAAATGTCTAGTTCATCTGGTAGGGCGACTTGCAGGAATACGGAGTTTTCTTGTGTGGAGGTTTAATCTACGGATAAAGTCCTGGTCTGGTGTGCACGTGGTGAGGTGTGAGGATAAATCTTGAGGCTTACTACACAACCAGTGAGCTCCCTCACAGGCATCTGTGATGCAGGAGGAAGAGAAGGTTGGAAAACTCTTATTTGATAGCTTGAGGTTGGAGTCAGTGGATTTTTGTAAGTGACCCAGCAAAGAATGGGAGGAGAGCAAGAGCACATGAACCACCGAGGTACTGAGGGATCATCAGTGTGATGGCAAAGTGGTTTGCTGAGATAAATCCCTTTGGAAAACTCTTATTTGATAGCTTGAGGTTGGAGTCAGTGGATTTTTGTAAGTGACCCAGCAAAGAATGAGAGGAGAGCAAGAGCACATGAGCCACCGAGGTACTGAGGGATCAGTGTGATGGCAAAGTGGTTTGCTGAGGTAAATCCCTGAGATCTGGGATTGTCCTGACTGCTGTCAGTGCCTCAGAGGGATCTCAGTGGCTTCTAAAAGGTTGCTGGGAGCCAGGGAAACCCAGGCTCTCTTGCTGTGCCTCCCAGGGGCTCACTTGATGTAGGCATTGGAGGTTTCTTGGTCTGATGGTGGATGAGCACTGGGATTCTGTCGAGGTGTGTCTGTGATGAGCATCACTGATGGTACAGTACATCCATGGCAGCTCTGTGGCACCTAACGTATGCGGCTCTTACCTTGGCTCTGCTGCTTGCCTGCTCGCTGTAGAGATCTGCTGAACATCAAGGTTTGGAAATTACTTGTCAGGCATGGCTTTGAGCCCCTGCCTGCCCTTGCGACGTCTGTCCTGCGGTTCTTCAGCAGCTTCCAGGGGCTGATGTACACTGGGAAGAGGGTGTAAATGGGGACTGAGGTCCACGTGGTATCACAGGACTCTCCCTGCTCTGTACGAGTCCCACAGCTTCAGCTTCAGCTTCTGGTTGTATGAGTGCTGCGGTGTCAGAAATGGGCTTTGCCTTCCAGCACTGCTGGCTCAGCCACCTCTCCACAGCCTTTGCTCCTCGTAGGGTGTTTTCTGGAGGGACACAACAGGCCCTGAAGGCAGCTTGCATCCCAAGGAGCAGCCGTGCTCAGACCACCATGGATCCCGAGGCTGGGTCTGTGCTGTAGTGCGGGGTGAAGTCCCCTGCGGGCAGCGCTGTGGCTACAGAGGGACAGGGGCCTGGGAAAGACGCCCGTGCCTTGGGAGATGCCATACAATGAGCTCTTGTTCTCGCTCTGTGTGGGGTGGGAGATGTTCCCAGCACTCGGTGACTGTCAGGGCTGCTGCAGCGGATGGCACAGCAGCCAGAGCTTCACTTTGCTGCAGCTCCCGGTCTGTGTGGCCGTTGTTCTGCTGGGTGGCCACATGCAAGGGAATTTGGGAGCAGCTGCTGTGGGCTGTGTGTGCGCTTCTTTACCTGTGAGGTTTGAAGGCGTAACAACCTTCTCAGATAAGGCCAAAGGAGAGTCTGGGACGACAGAGGGACTTTGGTTCATGTTGAACCAGCCTCAGACTGCTTCTGAGAGACATGTTGAGCAGCTGATGGCAGAAATGAAGACTGAACTCTCTGATCAGCCTCTTGTTCTGCTTTAATGGACCACGTGGGGTGCAGGCATAAACCCATCTCTTAGGCCTGGCTTCTGAATTGAACCCCAGCTTTGCATTAGGCCAGGGACCAAGGGCTCAGAGCAGCCCAGCAGCTCCAGGCCTCCTTCAGCTCCTGCTGAGCTCTCTGCTCCTTCCTTACCTTGACCTTAACCTTAGCAGCCGTGATGAGCCATTTCTCTTTGACAACAGCGGCCTTTTCCCCAGTCTCGATGGGTTTCTTTGCGCTTTGAGCCCCCTGCTCTGTCCGTATTGGCACTTCCATTTATTTTAGGGCTTCCTGAAAGAAGGCAGAGGGTGGTGGACAGCTCTTGGGAACGTGGTGGGTGAGTTCATCAGCACCGCTCCACATCTGCACCTTTCAGAACCCAGATTTTGGGAGCTGTGGTTACCTCCCTGTCAGGGCATCCTGCGTTGCTGCTGTGTAGTCATCTCTGTGCATCCCTGCACGGACAATTCAGGTGTAATGATTGTGTCAGACACAGTTGGAGCGGGGTTTGAGACGGGACTTTGGGGTTGTGTGCTGTGTGGTGACCCTTCTCACAAGGCCGTGCTGCCTCTTGGCTTTCTGTGTCTGGTCGCTGTGTTTTGGGCTACACCTGGCCGTGGTGCAGCCACCCCGGGGAATAGATTGCGAGCGGTGTAGTGATGCATGCAGCAGCTACAGCTGCAGATGGAAATGGAGGAGGGTGATGAATTAGCAATCTTCTTTTAATCCTGGGAATCCGAGGGGAGAGCCCCCCTACCTTGTGCAGGTGGAGCCAAGAGCTGCCTGCTTGTTTCGGCAGGACTGCAGCCCCTCAGCATCTCCCCAGGGAGCCCAGGAGGAAGGTGGGGGATGCACAGTTTGCACATTTCAGGAGCCCCCGAGCAGGCAGGGAAGGAAAGAGCCCAGGGATGGCGAAGGAAAGCGTGGATTTGGTCCATCTGTGTGCTGGGACGTGGCTGTGCTCCTGTTTCCCGGCTGACAGAGCTCTGCCACGAAGGGCTCCTGGAGGTTATCGATGGCTCAGGGAGAGGAGCTGAGGCAATGAAAGGTGAGGAGAGGAGGGAGCGTGGCTGTGGCTGTGGCCACACCAAGTGATCTGTCCACATTAGGTGTCAGTGTGCCGCTAATGAACTCAAACAGGTTTCTTCATTTATCCCTTGCCTAATCACATTACCCTGATTTAATGCCAGGCCAGGACTGTGGCAGGGGAGGTCAGATATTTTCATTTCCTAGCGGGAGAATCGCGGCCCTGCTCGGTGGCACAGTTCCTGCTGTGAGCTGTCAGCTCCGGGAGCGAGGAGGAAGCAGCCCTGGTTAACCAGAGCACCCTACACGTTGTGTTCTGGAGTCTTGATGCATTTCTGCCGCCTTCTGCGCGAAGAGGCCTCTGTGAGTCCATCGGAGGAAGGGGAGGGGAGCAGGACACTGGAGAAGTTCAGTAAATTCCTTTTAGTGGCCTCTTTGCCTGTGTCGTAGCACATAGGAACGACCCCAGGGCCTTTACCCAGATCCCTTCCAGTAGCTGGATCTGTGGTGTTTTTCCTAGCACTGCTTGATGGATGCAAGCGTGGACCCCTGGGTTACTGCTGAGCTGCTCGGGGGCCTGTCAACGTGATGTGATGTGAACAGCACTGCAGTGCATCCCCTGGGGTGCTCTCCATGGCTGCAGGCACCCCAGAGAGCTCGGTCCGTGGGAGGCTGCGTGCTGGCAGGGCTGACCCCCCTGTGCACAGAAGGGTGTGAGTCAGAGGGAACAAAGCTGAGAGAGGCTTACAAGGATGCCCTGAGCCAGGGAGTCTGACCCATTCTCGATCACCACCATGGAAGTGGGTATGTGCAGGCACAAATTTCTCAGAGGAACCAGCCCCTCTCTGGTCTCATGGCTGGATCCTTCTCCTCTCATGATTCATTACACCCATTTCTCCTTACTGTGCTCTTCTGTCTGTAATCCTCTCCTCCCTTTCCTGTCTCAGAGCAGGGCAACAGTTGGGTCTCTTCATCCCCTGGGTGCTGCGCCGGTGGTGCTTCATAAATACCAGGAAGCACCAAATCCTGGGCTTTAGCAGCAAAACCTTGCTTCTGAGGTCATTTCTCTGACTTTCCATGTCCTGGCCTCTAGCAGGTGCCTCTGAAATGAAAAGCATCCTTCTTTTGGAGAAATACGGTGGATTTCCCCTTTAGTGTGCGAGCGTGCTCCTGAGGATGAACGTTGGGACAGCGGTGCCTTGCCCTTGTCCTGCCTGTCCTGCTTTCTGTTTCCATTTACATAGTGAAATTACTTGCAGGTAAAGCCAAAGCCAAGCAGGCATCCGACGACAGTTCAGAAGCCAGCAGCAAGGACTATGGCGAGGATGACGATGAAGAGGAAGGAAGGTACGAGATCGAGGAGGAGGAGGAAGAGTTGGAAGAAGACAGCGACTCAGAGGGTAAGCAGTGCAGCTGGGGAAGGGAATTCTTGACAGCGCTGGTGACTGAAGGCTCCTTGGTGTTTGGGGGCTCCACTACAAAGAAACCCTCTCCTCTTTCTTGCTGCGCTGCTGTTTGGAGCTGCAGGGTGTCAGGAGGGGCTTTTACACCCAGACACGCACAGGGAGACGTGGCAGTTTGGAGTTGGTAGAGAGAGAGCGAAAGGGTTAAGGGCTCTGCAGGCCTTGCTCTAACAAGGCACCAGCCCCTTTCATCTCTTTGCAGGGCCCTCCTGCAGAGAGGCTCAAACAAGCTCTTGAAGTGCAGCCCACCCCACCGGGGGTACCAAACCCTGGCTTCAAGGCTCTCCACAGGTTACAAACACACCAGGGTGTGGAGGCAGCAGCGCTGTGCTTTTCATCTGAGCACCTGAGCACCTCCTGGGCCATGGGGTGCTGCACGGGGTAACCCTTCAGTGGCTGCTTCCCACTCCGCTGCCCTAGCAGAGGAATTGGGGGCCGTGGTGGCTGTGCCGTCCCTTCGCTGCCTTTTGTGTGCCCCTTGCTTAGGCCTTCGTGTTGGCAGGCTGAGCCCCTGCCCCACGCGTGCCCTTGGGTGGGATGTGCGGCTGTGGGGAGCAGCCACAAAGGCTCCTGTGTGCAGGCTTCCTTCACCAGTTTGGGGAGCAGGGGGGGAGCAGGAAGGGGGAAGGAGTCCAAGCGCGAGCAAAATCCGCCTGCGTTAGCGTGGCAGATGGCTGTGGCTTGGCATGCACAGCCAAACCTCGGCGCCGAGAATAGCTGGGGGTTTGATGCATGTTCTGACAGCGCCGTAAAGGGTGAAGAGGGAGCGATTTCCCCTCGCTGCTGCTGGAGCACTCAGATAAGCTGAAGGAAAAGCTCCTTTCCTTGGTGTCTGGGGGAGCAGGAACCTTCACCCTCCCTTTTCACCCGTGAGGAGCACGGCGTGGAGCCAGCAGAGTCTCGTAGTGCCTAAGAAAGGGGTTCGAGGAAGGTGTGGGAAGCTCAAGCCACACTTTGGAATGAGAGGGAAGGGCACTGGGAATGGGGACAGCACCTGGAAAACTCTTCTCAATTTGCTCCCCACGATTAAATTATCATTTCAATAAAAGGAGCAGCTTGGAGCAGTTTTACATTTGGGAGTTGTGCGGTTCCTGTGACAGCTCCAAAAGCCCATCCTGGCACCTCTGCTGAGGAAGATTGAGCTGTGAGGGGTGAAGGTTTGGAGGTGCTGCCTGTCTTGTGCACCCTCCTTTCTTACTTTGTGCTTCTGCCTCGGGCACAGCACTTGGTCAGGCGTCCTCTGCCATCGCCACGAGTGCTTCAGAGCCGGTGCTCGCACCCTGCAGCACTCTCCCACCGCGATCTGGGAGCTGCAGTGGCGCCAATAAATTAATGAGTGTCTGGGATTAATTAGCAATGAGTCGCCTCCGCTCACCTCCCAGCATTTACACCTCTCGCTCTTTCCACCCGCAGAGGAAGGCGAGGACGCGGCTGAGGTTCCCCAAGGGGCCAAGAAGCGGAGGCGCTGCCCCCCTGGGATGTCACGGACGGACCTGGAGCAGCTGGCGCAGGGGGATGAGGACATTGTGGAGGACTTGGCCTTCTCTGATGATGACTGAGCACCCTCCCAGCGTATCCCTCACAGAGCGGCTGCGTGCGGGATCACCCAGCCATGCAGGATCACCCAGCCTTGGCCACCTGCAGCTGGGTCTCATTGGTAAGAGCTGCGGAGCACAGGGGTGGGGGCCAGCCCCAGGTGCCACCAAGGACTCACTCAGTGACACAGCGGAGATGCTACTTGGACTTGCTTTTTTTTTCTACCAGTTACGTGTATTTTTGGTAACAGTAAACTTGTGGTCACGTCAAAGCCAGTAAAACTCTCAGCACAGGTAATAAAAAGCTGTCATTAAAATCTGCTGCTGTAAATAACACCGGGTTCAGGTTCAGCTCCTGCTGGAGTGTGAGCTGACCAAGGGCCAGGACAAGTCCTTTCATCTCAGGGTCCTCCTGTCTATACCACCCCTGTGGCCCTGAATTTTGCTGTGGGCCCTCCCCACACCCTCCATTTGGCCAAGAAGTTTGTGAGGATCCCACAGAGCAGCTCAGAGCTTTGTGTCCCCGCTGCAATGGACGCCTTTAGCAGCAGCAGCAGTGCTGGCTGTAAGTACACTAGAGGTGCCACTTTGAGTAAGTGCTTTAGGAGCTGGGGGTGGGGGGGAGCTGGGAGGTGGTGTAGGAAGGAAAATTACCTCAGGGCCAACCCCTGCATCACCAGGGTGTTTCCAGGTGCAGCTGTTGTCTCTTCCCCTAGGAGTGGTGCTTGGGTGGGAACCCTGTGTGGCTCCAGGTGGGAAAGGACAATTTGTGATGTGCTGGGCAAGCAGCAACAGCTGAGCCAGTGAGAGCACTGCTGGGGGTGCTTCGGAAGGGTTATTTTCATGGGGTCAGAGGAACCACAGCACAGCAACACTGCCTTGGTGCAGGTAAAACCCCCCGTGTCAGTGGTGACAAAATGTATGTGAAGAGGTAATTACACCGAGCGCTGCTCCTTTCCAGCTCCCAGACTTGGCTGGGTAATTACAGCTGGGGTATGGTGGTAAGGGGTGTTCCCTTCCTTCAGTGCTTATTATGGTATTAACAGGAATTATTAGGCTGTTATTAGGAACAGGGATAGGGAGGGTTTCTTGTTCCCACCTGCAGTCACAGTTGTTATTAGAGCTGCCCTTTCTAGACATGCAGCCAGTACCCATTGTCCCGTAAGGGGGAGGAAGTAACCTCAGAAAATGACTGATTTGGGTTTTGTTATTAACATTTTTATTGTTGTGATTATTATAATCATCCATAGCCCACTCTGAGGGGGGCAGAGCTTCACGAGGGGTCCAGGAGCGCTCAGGACTGAGGTTCCCAGGGCAGGCAAAGGCTGTAACTCCATGTGGGAGCCTGGGACACGCAGCAGAGGTGAGACGTCCCAAACTGTAAGAACAAGGTTTGAACTTACCTTTTCTTCCTGGAGAGAAAGGAGGTGGTGTTTCTCCTTTCCCTCAAGTAGCTGGGCACGGTGCTGTCTGAACTGAGCCTCAGATGGGCTTTGAGGCAGCGCAGGCACCCCAGGAATCACCAGCCACACAGACCAACAGAAAGGAGATTTCTCAGGAAGCCAGGTACCGTTTGTAAATTAAGTGTTTTTCTTTTTTATTTAAATTGATTGCTGGAAAGCATTTTTTTTTTTTTAATCGTGATGTGATGGATAATGACTTTTTATTTTAATTTTTTTTTTTACAATATAAAGAAGCTAATGTACCACCAAGCTATTTTTTTTTTCGTAAGAAAAACGGTAGCACGTGCAACGTTTAAACAAAAAAAAAAAACCAGAGAGGGGAGAGGGAGAGAGAAAAGTACCACGTGTGATTGCTGCTCACGACTGTACACGTCACAGGAGGTCACCCCAGGAGTTTCCATCTCGTTCACAGTAGTAACAACTCTGCGTGGTGGTGGTGTGAGCCTGAACCCCCAGCATCCCTCCCTGTCCGGGAACAGGCGTCCGTCACGGTCCACAGCAGGCCCGCATGTGCAACTGCAGCCACCTCTGTAACAAGGCTTTAGAAAGGATAAAAACAGCCCTAGGAACAAAAAAAAACCACCCCACCCCGGTGTAGAAATGAGTCCGTTGTACAGGTGGAGGAGGGCGGAGTGACCCCTCATCCCACCGCAGCACGCTTCACTTCTCTTCAAACCAAAACGCGTCACGAAGCTCGGGCAGGGCCCATCCTGGAGTGCGCTGCGAGGGACGACGCGCCGGGACGGGGACAGCCCGGCCGCCTGTGCCGTACCGTTCTCTGAAGTAAACATGGACCGGAACTCGCCTTCGCTTTGTCTTTTTTTGTCTGTCTTTGGTATTGTTTTAAAAGTCGTTCGCGATGCATAGACACCTGAATGAGGAACTGAGTCCAGGGAGGAGCGGTTTGGGAAGGGGCTGGGTTCATTTGCCATGGATTTTTGTTTTTTGCTGAGTACCGTGGGGAGGAGCAGCGCCCGTCCTGTCCTTGTGTGGAGGCACAGCCACAAGTTCTGAATGTGAAGTTTTTTTTGGAGGTAAAGAACCCGTCCGTGGTGCTCACCTCGGGCTGGGGAGCGAGAAGGGGTGCGAGGGAAACGCTGCTGCCGTCCTCCAGAGTCATTTTCTCTTCGTTGCGTCGTCTCAGTACATCTTTGGATAATTTCCTTTCCTTCCCTTTTTATTTTTTACAGTTTGTAAAACTTCTGCGGGATTATTTTTTTTTTTTTTAAAAAACAAAAAAGCAAACGCATCCAAAATAACTAAAACCTCCCTTCCTCGCTCCTGTGTCTCGCGCTGCTGAGGGAGGGGAGGCTCACCCGAGCTCCCCAAAAAACCGCGTTACCTTCAGTTTGCCCAACCGAAGCTCAGCTCCAGAGCCGTCCCGCGGTTAGGAGGGAGGTTTGGTGGTGTCGTTGATCCCA